AGTAGGCTTTGCTGCTATGCAGTTAAATTAATGTGGTGGGCTTATTCTTTTCTGAAGTCTAGTTTTAAGAATAGTGGAAGTTACACTTTTTTTCTTCCTCCATTTCTGGCGCCCCCTGGATGTACGGCGCCCTTAGCATTTGCCTATACTGCCTATGCCACGGGCCGGCCCTGGTCCCGTCATTAAAACTTCTCCCTTTGTAAATGCATCATTTATCTATTGTCAGTGTTTTAATCTGTGTTTTAGTTCATTTACAGCCAAAGCAACACACAGGTAAGAAAGACTTTGACTGTGAGAACAAAGTCATGACGTTTCCTTCACCTCGACAACACAGAAGCATATGTTAATGGAAAAAAGAGCCAACACATGATGAAACCAGTTTTATTTTTGGGACACAGCTCAGCTTCTGCAACCAGCTTCAGTCACAGTAATGATCACAGCAGGTCAGAGGAATTGTTGTCAATATTCACACTCAAATCTCAAAGCTGCTCACAGTGCCACTGTTCACAGTGTTCAGTTAATCTACAAACGTGTCACGTGTTTAAACAAGCAGTTTGATCCTTTCTATCGGAACCATACAGCTGTGTGGGTCGGGTGGACCCTGCAGTCACAGCACCGGTCAAAATCTAAAAATACAAGCAGACAGAATGACTATGCTCATTGTGTTACACTGTGATATTGGATGTTATTACTGATGCACTTCATTGTAGCTTGAATTAACACCTGACTGCAGTGTTTGTTTTGAATCTGAACATCAGCTGGAAAAACTTTAAAGTCACGTGAAGATAAAACATATGATTATGGGAAGTAGAAATTACATCAAAGTTTGCAAGAGAAAAGAAGAGTGATATGGGAATAAAGCTAAACAGAAATCAACCTGCAGAAACTTAAACAGTCTGTAATGAAATGCAAGAAAAAAAAATCTGCTCTGGAATATTTCATGGTTTGTCTCATGTCTTGTTTGTTTGTTAGAACTCAGTCCCAGTTCCTTCAGCAGGTCCTGGACCTGTTCTGTGCACAGAAAGAGAAATGTCTCAGCAGCCACTTGATTCTCAAAGGCAGATACAGTAAGTGTGGGACATCAGAGATAATGAGATGCTCAGAGGCTTGTTTCATTGTCCCCTCCGGTCACACACAAAGACAAGTAAAATGACTGCTTTGAGTACCAAACAGTCTCATTTGTTTTCCTTTGTCTTCAGATTGTGAAATGAGCTCAGTCACTGACCAGGAAACAGGACAACACAGTGAAGTCCACACAGTTTGAGCGGAGGGGGACTAGTCAGTAGATTGGCTCCATGATCTGAGCCACTGCTGCTGATCATTGTCTGTGTTGATATAAAAACCACTGATCAAAGGATGTTGACCCAAGCTTCATGATGTGGCCAGGGTCTCCATCGGCTCCTACAGCTCTTTGCTGGTGAAGCTGCGCTCCTGACTGAGGTCTCTGTAGCACTCGGTGCTGCCTCTGGTTGTGCCCCAACTCTTCCACAGCATGTACTTTGCGCTGTGCAGCGGGATGCTGACAGACGAGAGGTGCTGCACAGAGTGGGACACAGCCGCTCTGAAGCTCGGCCTTCTGGCTGTGAACAGGATGAAGATCTGAAACCCCTGAGGACACCAGAGCGGGACAAAGGTGAGCCTTGTTTTACCTTTGGTGGTTACATATGTTTACTGTCCCAGTGTTCTAACAGGACCCATTTATGACAAACCAGGTGTCACAGAAGGAGAGAAGAGAGGGACCAAACATAGACAACTTAGGTTGATGTGTGACAGCAAAGGTTACAGAATTTTCACTACATCTGGTGACATGTAACACTGGTGTTGACACAGTTGGTCTGTCACAAACCAGCCTGCCAGCGGCTGACACGACAAGTAACATGTGACCAGAACCAGCAAGTCATCACCTGGTGTTTCTGAACTGAATTCAGGAACCATGACACAAAAATGACCTTTTTACAACTTCACTACATAATTGCTCCTTTCTTTCTTTTGTTTTCAAGATTTTACTCTTGAAAACTTGCAGCTTGTTACTCCAAACATTGTTGTTTAATTCTTGAACTCTCCAATTATTTGTATTTATTTTTATTTTCCTAAGACTGGTCCTGATGTTGCATCATCGCTGTTGGTCAAAAACTGTTAATTCATTCATTAATGTTACAGCATTATTCACAAAAATAAACACTACTGTGCTTGTTTGTTCACAGTGAGAGAAAGTCACCAAACTCAATTCAAAAATGTACCAATTTGTGCTGCAGAGTTAAACATAAAATGCTGCCTCCAACAAAATCTGAATAAATCATGTCTCTAGAGACATTCATCCTCAAACACTGCTTATAATTCCAGTCAAAGATGTGTAGCTCACAGTTGTGGAAGTGCTGTTTAGAAACAGCTAGATGTAAAATGTTGAAGTGGAGGTTCAGACAAATGTACCTGTGTGGTCGTACAGATGCAGAAGACGATACTGAAGACCAGGTGGGTGTGTCCTGTACTGACGAGGACCAGGTACCCCAGGGTCCAGGACAGACCCAGAACCACGGCCAGAGAGAAGCTGATGAGGAACTTCTTCCTGAGAGGCGAAGGCTTGGTGCTGCACAACAGAACAGGCTGGTGAGTCAGAGACCGACTTCACGGCAGAAATGAGTCCTTAACATGCACACTAGAGAACAAGGTGGTCTGAGAGAGTCAGAGTGAAGTCGGCAAGAAATTTTAATACACCTTACTTTGTCCTATCACGAGATTTTTCCTCAAAGTAAGGCATCTGTACTTTTCTCAAAATATTAAGACATTTATTAACAGTTATTGAAATATTCCAGCTCTTTTTCTGAAAATATGATTTGATTATTGAAACTATGACTGTCATAAAGTACAAGTACAAGTGATTTTTCTTGATTTTAGTAGTGGTGGAAGAAGTACTCGGAATATTTACTTAAGTAAAAGTAGTACTACCACAGTGTAGAAATACTGTTATAAATAAAAGTCCTGTATTCAAAATGCTAATTAGGTAAACATGTGTATTCTACAGTATTTTGTTTTATTGATCTGATTCTAAAAAGGAACTAAAGTTATCAAATACATGTAGAGCAGTAAAAAGTTTGTCTCTGACATGTAGTGAAGTGAAGGATTGTAGCCTACGTAAAGCTGCAGTATGCAACTTTTTTCCAAATGTTTGTAGAAATCTGCTCCAAAATGTGTCTTCATGTGGAGAGGTGCTGTCGAATCCTCCTGTGACCCAGAGCCACTGAACTGACACCAGAGATATTAGCTTCAAAAAGGTTTTGAGTGGGACTGACTTCTAATCAATCAGAGATTTTCAGTTATTTCTACCTGATCAGTGAGTTTTGTTGCATTTTCATTGTAAATTCATAACAACAAATATGTGAAGAGCTGGGCAGAGCATGGCGGGTTTTAGTAGAGCAGAGTGGGCTGATTTGGAGTTTCATGCTAATGCTACCTTAAGTCACATACCCTAGCTTTAAGTACAGTACTTGAGTAAATGTACTGGGCTACTTTCCACCGCTGGATTTTAGTGCAGCAGTCCGACTGATGTTTCTGTAAAGTTAAAATATGAAACACACTTAGGTTTCATTTATATAAAGAAAATCAGACGTTGAGTTTTCAGGACACAGGTGAGCAGAGAGCTGCAGGACTGTCAGGGCGGCAGCACATTACCTGGCCAGGTCAGGGTCTGTCCTGCACGTGGTCAGAGAGATAAGCGCCAGCAGCACAATGTTGTAGATCAGGATCAAAGCGACAGGAAGGAGGAAGCCCCAAAACATGGGCTTCCCAAAGTCGAAGTGTTTGGATTTATCCAGAGCAGCCAACCAGCAGCTGGAGGGTTAAAAATCAGCAGTCAGAATAAAATACCATAAATAAAAATATCACACAAAGACTGTAACTGAAACCCACAGGACTGAATTTAAGTTCTACTGGAGATCCTCAAGTTTCCAACAATAAAAAATGTCATAAATATTTCACTGAAAGTAAACTTCCTGTGGTCTCAGTGAGGAGCTGGACCAACACGATGAGTGGTGACACTGTGTGAATGAATTCAAAGACAGAACAATCACAGGAAAGTCCAGAACTTTTAGGTACGTGGACAAAGAAAGAGTTCTAGACTGAAAACCTCTTTCTTTCCAACTGCCATCAGACTCCTAAACAGCTGACAGGAGTTTACAATCAGGAATTACTTCAAGTAATTCCACCTGTACTGTTTACATAATTGTACATTCACTGCTGACTATTGCACATACAGCTCCGATGTAGCATACATTCTGTCTTAGTGTGTTCTTATAATATTTCTTTTCACTCACTGCTTAAAGTGCCTTTAGGTTTTGTGCTACTGTTTATCTACTTTATATTTCACTTGTGTTGTTTGGCATTCATGTGGATGTCAAAGTAAGAATTTCACTGTGCAGGGAAACACGTTTCCTTATTGTGCATATGACAGTAAACGCTTTGAACCTTGAACCTTGAACAAAGGTAAAGCTCATATAGGTGTGATGTAAAACATGTTACAGCAGCTAATAAGCACTAAGTACAATGATGGACCCACAATTCCTCCTGTCTGTATTCCAGAGGGTTGTCCACACTGTAGGTCGCTCCAAGTGTGACCAGCATGATGACGGCTGGGACCCCTGTGAGGACACAGGAAGTCATGTGACTTTAAATTCTGGACAGAAACCATTTATTCCCTCCACCAATGACACAGGTCCAGGTATCTAAGTTCTTGATACACATTGTTGAGGATGTGCTGGATGATCAAGTCTTACCCCATCCAACAGCCATACTGCCTGGGGTCCAGTATGGAGGGAGGCTGCGGCGCAGCGTCCGCACCAGCAGCACTACCTCAGTGCCGAACACGCCGTTCCACATGAAGGTGGCCAGCAGGAAGAAGTGGAGCAGGGCTGCCACCGCCGAACATGAGCCGTGGTCCCGGTGCACGTGTTGGTCAGAGCCCGGGATGATGTTGGTCTGGCTGATCTCCACCTGCACTTCACCCTGTCTGTTGGAGTTCTCCACTCCAGAGAGGAAGGTGATGATGAAGGCCAACAGGCTCACACACATGCACAGCAGAGCCACGGTTGACTTGTTCTGACGCTTGCCAGGCTTCCTCTCTAAACTGGAGAGGACGAGATAGCGCTTTAGGCCAGACGGACACTTGAATCTGAGTGATCAGTTTATTAGAAACCCCTGAGTCAGTCTAACCCAGCAGTCCTGCAGTGAATCGTCCTTCATGAAGATGTTCAATTTGTGTTCAGTGTTTCATAGAGGTGTGGATTCACTGAGCCTGGAGGTTGTGGTCCTGTTCAACTGGACTGTGTTATACTGAGAGGTGTTTCTGGTATTTTGTCCACCTCAGTTTACACAACAGGGCTGAACAGACACATTATCACCTTCATGAAGAGGGATATACTGTGGGATTGTTGGATTAGACTGACTTGAAATCAACTAGGTGTACCTAATAAACTGACTAACTGGGCTTCTCAGCGTGTGCAGCACAGCACCAAGCCAGAGCCCTTGTGTGTGAACAGCTGTCAATAAATGCTAATGGAGATGCTAAACAAACATTAACCTGAGCAACTGAGAAGGACAAAGGAGAGTTCAGCATCAACTGCAGCTGATCTGTTACAGACCAGCTCCCTGCCTGTGTGTTAGACAGCAGGATGAACTGCGCTGAATCTGGAGTCCCATTCCAACTTACTTCTCTCTGACGTGGTGAATGATGGTGACGAGCAGGCCCAGGATGGAAAAGCAAAGACCAACGATGGAGATCACTTCCAGGGCCTGTGCATACTCGTAGTTCTCTGTGAAGGACTGAAACAGCAGCATTAAACAGGAAAGCATTAAATAACTAAGGACCAGTTGCCAGTCACATTATATCATGATTAAATACTGGGCTAGAAAGCATGTTAAATAGCATCAGTTGGCTGGGAGTCTCCCTCCAACTTTAGCCTCGGATGGAAACATATCAGTGCAGAGTTGTGTGCATCACCCAGAGAGCAGCGAAGTTGGTGGTGTGGTTGCAGAAACACCTCAGGACTCCGTCTGAAGCATTTCCTTTGGAGCAGCCAACGGTGCTCCAGTCCTGAAGGCTGTAGTCCCAGAAAACACAGGCGAAGTCGTGCAGAGACGCAGCGCTCGGCACCTGAGACAGTCACAGAGAGAACGTCTGCAGCTTCACTCCTTCAGTCACATGTTGGGTTTAAACGGCAGTGGAAAAGATGAGGGAGCAAGTCAAGTGGTTTATGTTGTGTTTCATTTAAATAAAACACAGGAAAAGAAAGCACCCAAAAGATGATGATGTGCAAACAAACCAGATTTGTTCTGTGTGTACAAGTTGTTATTCTGATGTTGAAGTGATGGTGTTTGCACCAGATCCTTATGCTGCGTGCGCAGTTTGTCATGCAGCAGTTGGTCCTCAGTGAGCAGGTGTTTGTTTGTGTCATCACAGTGTTGTTCAGCGTTCTGCTTCTGCTCACATTACTAGTCAAAGAGCTTTGGTGTTTAGAAGAGCAGAGGAACAGTCAGTGTCAGGAGTCCCCACCTTGCCTTTTCTAGTGTGTTTTGACTGATTGTACTTTGACAAGTTACTGCCAGATTAGTGAGATAATCAGTGCCATAAAAACAAATCATGACAGTGAAACTTGAAGCTTTCTTATGCACACTGTCTTGTTATCACTGTTATGTCCTGATAACAGTATAGTATCAAACAGCATAGTACAGCATAGTCTGTAGCAGTATGAGGGTTTTCTTCAATGTTTTACTGATAAAATCACTAGCATTAGGCAGTCCTCCAGTTCTACTAATCCTGACCCAGCTGATATTCCTCTGCATTCTGCTGTCTTTGACCAGTTTGAGTCTGTATCTTTACCTCTGCTATCTGAACTGGTTCACTACATGAAAACATCTCACTGTTCTTTGGATTGTTTGCCAACTAGATTGTTTCAGGATCCCACTGGGATCTGTTTTAAGGAAATATGGCTTTTCTTTTCATTGTTCTGCTGATGACATTCAGATTTACTTACCGTTAAAGGAATCAAGAGGGATGTCACTACAGTCGCTGTTTGACTGTCTGACAGACTTGAAATCATAGTTGGCACTTAACTTTTTAAATCTCAACAAAAATAAGGCCGAGTGTGTGCTATTTGGTGACCTGGAGGACTTAACTGCTTCTAACCAGGGCCTGGGTCCCCTAGCTTGACATCTGAAGTCGACTGTAAAAAATCTAGGGGTGATGTTTGATGGTGATTTTAGATTTGACAAGCAAATCAACTCAGTTGTGAAATCTAGCTTCTTCCACCTGAGGCTGTTAAGCAAGGTTATGTCATTTCTTTCTTTTAATGATTTTGAGATTGCAATTCATGCTTTTATCACTTCCCGCCTTGACTATTGCAATGCTCTATACTATGGTGTTGACCACTCCTCCCTCGCTCATCTCCAAATGGTGCAAAATGCTGCTGCTCATCTTTTGACAAGTACTAGGAAATTCAAGCATATAACCCCGGTACTGGCTTCTCTCCACTGGCTTCCAGTCTGTTTTAGAATCGATTTTAAGTTATCGATTTTTGTTTTTAAGGCTCTTAATGGATTGGTTCCATCTTACCTCACTGAATTGGTGCATTGGCACAAACCTACAAGGTCCCTCAGATCTTCAAGCCAATTTCTTTTAGAGGTTCCTATGGCCAGATATAAACGCTGGCGTGACCGTGCTTTTACAGTTGCAGCCCCTAAATTTTGGAATAGTCTACCTTTTAATATTAGGTCAGCTAATGACCTCAGTACTTTTAAACCATTGCTTTAAACATATTTATTTGGCTTGGCTTTTAATGCACAGTAGAGCCTGATGGTTTTAATTTCCTTTTAATTTATTGAACGTATACTGTGTGTCTGTGTTACTGTGCTGTTTTATTTTTATTTGCACTGATCTTATTTATTCTATTTTAGTCATTTATTGTGATGTTATTCTGCCACGTACAGTACTTTGGTCAGCTGGATGTTGTTTTTAAAGTGCTATATAAATAAATTTGATTTGATTTGATCTGATTTGATAGTGCAGGTAAAGTGTCCTCTGTGAGGTGATAGATAGATAGATAGACAGAAATACTTTATTAATCCCAATCTGGGAAATTGCATCATGGGGACAGGCGCCTCAGGGGTTTTAAAGAAGACAGGAAGTTTTTAACTTGCTGTAATCTCCATTAAAACTTGCACTAACTCAGCGCATGGACGGACATGAAGCACGTGTTAATCTGATTCAGTGTGACGTCCACTTCCGGATGATGTCACTATCTCTGATGTCCCTCCAGGACAAACCTCCATGAAACCACTGAGGAGCAGAGGCTACAGAACCTGCCTGAGAATCCTCCCGTTTCTAAGTTTCCTTCAGTGTCACTGTGATCCAGTGACAGCTGTGTGTCTGTCCGTGGGGACACTGTACACTGGAACTGCTCACTGCTCATTCTGCTGCTGTGGGGGGTGTAGTTGTCTGGATTTGTCACAGTGTCAGACTTTGAAACCCTCCGACTCAGATTCAAGTCGAACCAAAAGAAAAGCTGATAAAGGTCATTTAAGTGGGACTACAGGAGGTTGTTAGGAGAAGCTGGTTTTCTTACTGTCGGTCTGAACAGCATCTCCACATGTTGTGGCACAGCGCTGCGCTCCCGACCTTCAATGCTGGCTGACAGAACCCTGACAGTGGCCCGACTCGTCCTGTAGAGCCTTGACCTAAAGAATCGGTTGTTCTGGTAGAGGACAAAACCCAGAGAGACGTCGGACGGCTGCTGACGGCTGCTGACAGCTTCTTCAGAGACTAGAGACAGAATCCCACTTTGTTATTAGTAGAAACAGATGTTGAGATGTCTGATGAACCTACAGTGAACCAGTCCCAGCCCTCTAAAAGCACCTTTACAGTAAAACACTGTGTTTCACGGACACGGCCAGTCAGACGTTTGGACACACTCCCATTCAATCCACTGGGAAAATGTGTCCACACCTGTGACTGGTAGTGTGTAAACATTAGTTATACCAGCTGGTACAGTGTCTGTGGTGCAGAGAACTCACCTGGTGGGAAGCGTACGTACATCAGGGCGTCGGCTATGGACCCGCTTCCCACCACAATGGTGGACGTGTTGGTGTTCAGCTGAATCCGGTTGTCTACAAAATGGCCAGATGTTCCTGAAAACAACAGGATAACAGAGGTGTCATTAAAAAGTCACTGACTGTTTGAAGCTCCGTTATTGTTACTGCTAAATGCAGTGAATGTTAGATTTCACATGTGAGGACAGAGAAGTTTGACTTCACTATGTCACTGCAGAGGACAGTTTGGTCTCTGTTGGCTTAAATGTTTGTTTTGTCTCTTTCAGGCTCCTGTACATCACAGAGCCAGTGCTACATCTCTGTGAGTACCCTTTATTATCTGTTATTGACTGGTGCGAAATGCATTCATGTCCTGCTGA